AGAGAGAGAGAGAGAGAGAGAGAGAGAGAGAGAGAGAGAGAGCGAGCTTTAAGTGCTCAATCGCTTCGCTCGTGCGAGAATCTCGCAGCGCTTCCGCGATTCCGAAGAATAAATTTTCGTCTGGTTCTTCACATAAATTAGAAATAACTCTGCTATTATTAGATATAAATTTTCCAAAAAATTGTTTATGCACGATAGACTTGTGCGACAATGATCTTCTTTGATTGATTGATTTCAGCGAGCCGGAGCCGCAAATTATGGATTACGTAACGCAACAGTATAAATTGTTCCCTAATCTCGCTGCTTGCTACGCGTTCCGGATTTCCGCCGACTGGATCTGGGATATGTATAACAACGTGACGGCCGAATTAGATCAGGGAGAACTAGAAAGACTTCCCGAGGTTTGTAAAGACTAGTGGAAAGTAGCGTGTTACTTCGAACGCCGTTATCGTTCAGGATTGCGAGTAATTGCTTTTTTAATTATCGTATTTAATATGAGTCACATCAATTAAAGACCATTTAATTGATAATTGATCTCAACAAATTTATATCGTACTGACGATTGCTTTCAACAAATTCAATTAATTACTTTTTTAATTAATTATTGTGTTTAATTGATGATTAATATAAGCCAATTAAATTAAAGACCGTTAAATTGATGACCGTTGAACGGTCTTTAATTGAATTCGTTGAAAGTAATCGTCAGCCAAACGGTTTTTAATTAAATTTGTTGAAATCAATCGTCAATTAAACGTTCTTCGGTCGATTTTGCTTGAATCCATCGTTAATTAGTTGAACTGAAATCTTATTTTTTGAAATCAATTACAAAGGACCGAATCTCTTTACAGCTACACGCGTTGGCGTGCTGCTTGAAGGCAGTCGCGTCGTCGGACGCAGCCACCGGCATTGAACAATTGCGGCTGGCATGCGGCGGCCACGGTTACATGGACGCGAGCAACCTGCCGGCGACTTATGGCTTAGTGACCGCCACTTGCACTTACGAGGGTGAAAACACAGTTTTGCTGCTGCAAACTGCCCGCTATCTAGTGAAAGCTTGGAGGCAGGCCGTTAGCGGCCAACGATTGCCGTTGACCGTGGAGTATCTGGGTGTCCTCTCGCGCGGGATAAAGCAGCAGCGCTGGAACAATACGCTGTCGTGCATCGTGACTGCTCATCAAGCGGTCGCAGCTGGGTAAATATTCAATGAACGGCCGGACGCGCGTTCAGGTCGCTCGCGAGAAGATATCGTGGAATTCTTCTTGGTCTTTTGCAAAATGCAAGCACCCAGAGTGGCATTAACCCTTTTGTTCTGACAATCAATAAGTAACTGCAAAATCAACGTGACAAAATTATGAAGAAATGTAGGTTGAAAAGATACGTTACAAGTCACGTTAATTTACGGCAATTGATTGTTAGAGCAAAAGGAAAGCGTTCGGACTATTTTACAGATGTGCCCGATTGATTGCGAGTGTTATTTTATGGATATATTTCTTTATTTCAATATATTCTGCAAGAATTTTTATTGGAATTTGTTAATGTTGCATTTTCTCGCTTCTGACCTCATCAATTGAGAGTTCTGCAGCGATGGGCCAGGATTTAAAAGATCCTTAAAGGATTTAATAGCATTTGATCGTGCACATATCGAAAATTTACACTCGCAAGAGATGTCAGACTGATGCAATTTTAATGAGCATGCGACGGATCCTGTAGCGGCTAATGGTATTGAAAATTTATTCACAGTAAAATTCGTCTGGCGACGGAGAACATGGATCAGAGAATACGCGCCGGCGTGTCGCCCGAGGATGCGTGGAATCAGACCAGCATCGAACTGGCGCACTGCGCGGAGTCCCATTGCCGAGCTTTCATAGTGATGCGATTCGTCGAGACCATCATGAATTTAACATCCTTGTCCAAGGAGTGTCATCAGGTGCTCATGCAGCTTTGCGAACTGTACTCCATATACTGGGTCCTACAGCGACTCGGAGACTTTCTACGAGTGAGTGGCGTTAATTCTTCTTCGCAAAAGAACGAAATTGCGCGCATAATTTTGGCGATTTGCTTTATTGAAAGTTTAAGATGATTGTTTGAACGATGAGAATTCCGACATCTTAGATCTGTTAATATATCTCATAATAAATTCTCGAAGAGACAGAGAGAGAGAGAGAGACTAATTAGCTTCTCATTTTGAAATATTTTCTGCTGTTTATCTTCACACTTTTCTTTTCATTTCATTACTTTCTCTCTCATTATGAAACATTTCTTACTGTTTAACTTTATATTTTCCTCTTCACACGTGGTCACACAAGTGTGATGGTTCTTTATTATTTGTCCAAAGAAAAATATTTGTTCTTCTGTTTAATTAATAATAATTCATGCTCTCTTTCCGTGATTGCAGTTTTCCTGCCTGGACACTAAAGATGTTCCGGTACTGCAGGCGCGCTTCGAGGAGATGCTCGCCGCAATTCGTCCAAACGCCGTCGGCATTGTCGATGGATTCGATATTCGCGACGAGATCCTCGCGTCCGCGCTCGGCGCGTATGACGGCAATGTGTACATGCGTCTCTTCGAGGAAGCGATGAAGAGTCCTTTGAATCAGGAGAGCGTAAACCAATCCTTCCACAAATACCTCAAGCCTTTCCTTTTGAAAAGTAGTTTATAATATTGTGCTTATCGTAAGATAATAGTCAGCCAATCCAACATAAACACGCACACGCGAGCAAAAAGGATTACATATAAAATTATACGAGATATCCGGCAACTCGTGGAGCTTAATTCTATATGTATACTTGGTTTCAATACGGTTTGAATACTTTTTTTTCGATAAAATTTAGAATGTAACCAATTAGAGACTTTTTCTCTCTTTATTAATTTCCAGAAAAAAATTTTTTTATTGGATAGACTGCGTTCCGAACTGCGTGAAAAAAATGTTCAAACCGTTTTGAAACAGACTATACAAAAGCATTATTTTCCGTGTGGACATAATTACGTGCAATTGTATATGACCATATAGAGATAAAATTCATGTGAGACAAATTATATATAATCATTTTTTCTCGGGCGTACATTTATACAGTGAACAGATAAAAGTCGCTTGAGACATGCCTTGTTTGTACCTACATTATTAAGCGCGAGGGAGAATTATTTGCATAATTTGCAACATCCCGCACGATTGCAAGTCACGTAATCGCGCGAACTTCACAAACATTTCCAGATCGTGATAGTTTTAATAGGCGCCGTAAATTCAAAGTGAGATAATTCTAAGTGCGTACGGGTACACGAATTTGTCATATTTGACGACACGATGCCAGTCATTCTCGCACAATGTATCATTGTAACTTTAGTATTACCTGCGGAATTGTTGCACTCTTAAAAGCAGAACGCTTTTGTACGGTTTATCCTTCTAATAAGAGTTTTTAAGGGGATGTACGTGAAAAGTCTACGATGGAAAATGTTCGTCCGTTAATCCATTCGTTAGCATCGCGTCTGATCGTTGCGCACAAAATAACAAAACAGAACTAATATATTTTTGATAGCGTAACGTTTTATAAGGCATATTATATCATAAAATGCGAGCGAGAGCGTGCGAGAAAGAGAGAGTGAACTTACAAGCGAAATTACCGACAGATGCAACAGCGGGAGGAACTTCTAGAGCTGATTTAGTGTTTTCTATAGAGTTGGGTGTCTCCACATTTTCTATTTAGTCTTGCGTTTTGCCAGCGCTCGCGCATGTATGCATGCGAGATGTAATCGGAGGGGCGCCGTCACGCTGTATGTGTAAAATTTTGGTACAAATAAAGCCAGATAATAATCTTCCCTCGTTACTCCTGTGTTGTTGTGTGTTGTGACTTTTGCCGAGTCCCCGACAATCGAAACGCTGACGACGTCACGTCGCGTGTCCCTCTCAAAAAAGTCCCCATGCGTTTTCTTAGACGGTACAATGTTTTATTTACAGAATAGGAGCGACCACATACATTATTGTTTGTTATCATTACTAATATAGTGCAATTATTAATTTTCGTTAATTAATCGTAACGTATTATGCTCGATGCCCGCGACAGCGGTAATAGGGATGTTCGATTGTCCGCGCCCGGCTTAAAGCTACTCGCGTCTCATCTCGACTTGTCTCCGTGCACGCGCGATTATACTCATATATATGTATATATATATTTATATATAATAATTATATTATATATATCATAATTATATATATATACATACATATATACACAATGTATTTATATATTGCATGTAATATATAATAATATTATACGTAGTATGGCGACTTTCTTTTTTAAACTGTGGGACAAGAGGAAACGATGAAGAGAACACTTTTCGACGGGAAATCGAATCACACCGTCCTACCGCAATCGCGAGCAGCTATATATATATATATATATATATATATATATATATATATATATTTATTTATATTTATAAGTACATATACATGTATATACTTATTCTTTTGTGGGTTCGTGCGTAGACGGAGATATATACACATATATGTAATATATGTAGATCGGTTAGGGGACAATATATAGACAGGAGGGGACAGGCACGAGGACAAGGACGAGGACAAGGAGCAGGAGAAGGAGATGGCGGGATGGCGGTTTAGGTGATGACGATACTTACACTTAAAAAATAACATTGTTAATTATATCATTATTATTAAATATTAATTATATATTCACTTTTAAAATTATTTTCATTCGTCCACCTGTGGCCTATGGGCTTTGTGTCTAGCGTTTTGACAGACTTGTTCATTGCTATATAAGTGATCTTACGGAATACGTTCTTCTTATAAAATATGATCTCATTACAATTATTATTTTCTTTTCTCATCCCTTCGCTCTTAGAACGCAGTGTGTCTCTCGTGTGTGTGCATTAACGGGCCGCACGGTGAGGCGCGCGAGCCGGCGAGTGCCGTCGGGGTCGACGGGCGACGCTGTGCGGCCGATTAATTTATTATCTAACGAACAATTTTTCTCATCTCTATGTCGTATGCGATTATTATTAGAGTGAAGATTACGATCCAATTTTTTCCAGGTTCCTCTGTCACTTCGCACGGGACAAACAAAATGTACGATCGAGAGAGAGGAGAGACGGTAGAGACCAAGAGAGGTAAAAAGAGGCAGAGAGAGGGAGAAAGAGTGAGAAAGAGAGAGAGAGAGAGAGAGGGGAGGGAGAGAATGAAAAAGAGAGAAAGATAGAGACAGTGGGAATGTTGTAAGAAGCGTGTCTTGTAAAATCTGGCGGTCTCGAGACGTTAAGAAATTGATAAAAGATCCACTGGAGGAATCGACGCGCTCACGCGTCGAAGAGTTTACACTCTTCTTCTGTTGCGAGCGTGCCACAGCGAAAAAGTTGAAGAAGACGAGCAACACGCACGATCAGAGAACGGCGATGGTCCGATGAAACGAGAACGTCTCATCGATTCGACGGATTGTGAGAGAAATTCTGCGGGACGAGGCGTTTGTTTTTTTCCTCGATTGCGCGCGTGCACACACACATACACACATACACACATACACACGTACACGCACACACATAATGTTAGATCTAGCTATCGTTTGCTAATGTCCTTATCGTTAATATCCTTATTAGTTGATTCCTATGTACCATTCCGAATTTAGATGCACTAAGAAGAAGGGTCGCGTGAGAGCACGCGGAGTGCGCGGGATTCGCGTCAAAAGTCAGCGTAGAATCGATCCCCTCGAGGGCGCGAGTGAATCTCGACGCGCGTCTCGTTACACACAAGTGACGTCGGCACTTCAGTAAAATAAATAAGATTATGTTATGGTTTGCCGAGAAGACAGATAAGGAGAGAGAAAGAGAGTAAAAGATCATGCTTCGTCGAGACGACACAATGACGCGCGTCTCTTCAAACAACGATAACGAATTCGCCGAATGAGGGAACTGCACTCACCGGTTACTCGATAATAAAGAAAAAAAAAAGGTCAACGAGACATTCGACGGAGTCGATGCGCACTTCTCGCGGTAGCGTCGTACGCGTCCAACGCGTCTCCGGAACGTAAAGAGCACGAGAGTCGGCGAAGAAACGAGAAGATCCGGATGAACCCTCGCGGTTACACGGCTGTTTCGCGGCGAGAGTGATCAACGACCAAGGCAAGTTATTCCGCGAAGAAAAAGAGATTGGTTGAATTAGTTTGCAATGATAACAATGTAACTAATTAAATATGTGGTGAAAGGAAATAGAATCTCTGATTTTTAGAGAAGAATCTTTCCCAAATTTTTTTTGTAAATTTCTTAGGATTTTTTCTTTTACTTCCTTCTTCTAAAATTTTTTCAAAGTTTTTTTCTTAAATTTTTTATTTTACTTAAATGACACATTTGACTAAGTGTGGGTTGAAGGAAACAGAATATTTGATTCTTAGACAAAGCTCTTTTCTGAAGAAATTTTTCTGTTAAATTCTTAAGATTTTTTCTTCCCCTTTTTTCTCCTAAGAATAAATCTTAAAAAATTCTTTAAGATTTTTCTCTAAAATTTCTTTAGAATTACTTCGTTTTCTCTCTTATGAATTTCTTAAGAAAAGATCCTTCTCTAAGAACCAAAAGTTCTATTGCCTCCAGCCAAAGCGCGCTCAGTTGTGTTATCGTCATTTTAATTCAACGAATCTTTTTTCTCTGTATGTGTTCACCGCCGACTCGGTTTGGCGATCGTCCTTGCGCAGGTATAATCATATCATAAAATAGCTGCGTAATGACACACATCGAACCGACAGTTATCGGTAAACGTGTACGGAATAGCAGCTCAGGTGATGATGATAATGACGAGAAAGAGACAGAGAGGAAGGGGAGGAGAGAACGATGCACCACGAAATGACATACAACGTGAGATTATAAGGCGGATGCGTGACAGTCTCGTACCAAATCGCTGTTCCTTACGTAGTTATTATATGGCAGTATCAGCATGATATACTTCGAAATACTCCAATACGTCCGATTTTCCGCGACGCGGATCGGATTGCTACGAAGAGACGACGCTCGTTAAGACGTATGCCTCCTCCAGGGTGGTATAGAATCGTTAGGGATGACAGAAGATATGTGTTTACGAACACACACAGTGGGAAAGAAAGAAGAAGAAGAAAGAAATATGGCGAAGAAACGGGAGTGAGGAAGCAGCCCGGAGAAAGAGAGGGATGGGGAGAAGGAGAGAAAAGAAAAGGGGAACACTCTCATAAGTGATTCGCAATTACGTATCGTCCTGTATCGCTCCTTTTGTGTTCTCAGAATGTACACTCTAAGTTTCTCGGGGTGAAATTTCACTCGAAAAGTGCAGTGACCACGGAGCCACTCGAATTCGGACGATCCTTCACTCGTACGGAGCGAATTCTTCACTCTGAATCGTCCAGTGGATAGTTTTCCTCGAAATTGAAAAGTATTCTTGATTATATCTGATGTATTCCACTGTCACAGGAAAACAAATTCATTGCAGCCGAGTGAAATATTTACTCGTGTGAGATCCACTTTTTGCCTGAGTGAAACATTCACTCTTGCTATTTTGAGCGAAACTACCGTCACTTCGCATTTGTTTTGAACGGAATTTCACTGCAAGAAATTTAAAGATAATCAGCTAAATTTCTTGAAGTGAAATTTCATTCGAAAAGTGCAGTAACTACTCAAATTCGAGCGATTCTTCACTCATATAGAGCGAATTTTCCGTTCTGAATTGTGGAATGGGTACTCTTACTTGAAATCAAAGAGTGAAACATTCGCTCGTAGAGTCAGGGAATTCACCTTAAGTTCGACAGAAATATTTACTCTTGCGATTTCGAGCGACAATATTTTCACTGTCGCTTCGAGTGAAGACACCGTCGCTGCTCGCTCGCTTTGAGTGAGATTCCGCTCCAGGAAATTCAGAGAGCAAAGTTATGGCATACTTCAGCGTGCGCACGCGTCGCTCTCGGGGCGGCGAGAGGAACCGACAGTGTGATTTCGCCAAGCTCGCGGAAACGAATCGTCGAAATCGCGCGAGTCTCGGACTCTGCCAGGCAGGAATCGCGTGCCCCTGCACTGAGAAAAAGAAAGAAGTGGGATCGACGAAGCCACGGTCGGATGAGTAAAGTTCATTCGTACCAACGTTTAGTCGATTGAACTAATTATACAGCTGCTGCGATGACTTATCAATCGATTCAATGATCGCAACTTGGTCAGCGATTCTATCAACGTAACGTATTGTCGCGAGAAGTCACTCATCTTAAGCTGCCGCTGTCATCTGTATTGCTTCTCACCCACCAAGTCTATTTTATGTCTCCCAAGTCCTAATAAAGTCCACTGTGTCTGCCAACTTGCCTTCCAGGTCTATTATGTCTTTGAAATTTATGTATCTTTAATATATATTTCTGTTCTTCATTTTCAATTTATTATTATTATACAATATCTTATTTTTTTCATATATATGTGGGTTCAGATCGAATCTAATAACAATATTGAGCTGCCACTCCGCCATTAAGTATATTATCTGACCTATAATTCGAACAATTGAATAAATGTATTTACAAATAAGACTTCAATAATTGCAAAAATCGATGTTGCGATTTTACGCTCAATAAAGATAATAATTTTAATATGTTGATTGGACGCAATATTCCTCTGAACGAGGGTGGCCGCCGATTTCGTCGATCCGACCGTTTCTCTTTCTCGGCATGGCCGCGCGATAAATGCTCCTCGACGGTGCTCCGCCGACGTCCGTCCATAGCTATGGCAACGTGAATCTACTACTTCTCGTTAATCAGAGCGGAGTCTTCCGACAGATCAGATGCGGACGGACGTGGCCGTCGTCGAGGGTCTTGTTGGCGCGTCGTCGGAGTTGGCCGCGATAAATAGAAATGGATGTCTTATCTCGCAGGTGGAAGGAGGGTGTGCGTGTGACATGCCGCTGCCGTGCAACATGATTCATCGGAACTGGACCCTGGCGAGTTACGACATACATCTCCGCTCGTCCGAGCTTGTTCGACGAAGGGCGAGATCGGAGGAGGTGAAAACGAAGTGTCAAACGATACCGCCCTCGTGTGCAAGTGTACAGGGCGGTATCCTTCCCTTTTCACGAGTTTCAACAAGAACTCGTCCTGTCGAGTTTCTTTCTATTTTCTGGATCTCTTTCGTTGCGGCAGGATTGCGGTTTTGGAAGGTAGGAGCGTTGGTCGCGCGGTGTCGTCGATGACGCGCTCGCACGGTTGGCTGGTTGGCTGGTACGCGCTCAAAAACATATGGCACGCTAACTGAGAATTCGCTTTATTTCGCTAAATGCATGGCGATTCGTACAGTACAAGGATCCTAATGGAGACTCGCTAAATGCACGGCGAACGCGTGAGACATCACATTCACAATTATCTCAGGTGAGAGTTTCGGGTACTTTATACATGATTCCGTGTGTGAGACAATATCAAACGAGACTCTTACAAACGTGACATCAACGGGGAGCGACGTAAACAATCTCCAAAGTTACAAGTGAACTTCGCGTACGTGTTTCGATTACCACACATCGAGAAAGAGAGAGAGAGAAAGAGAGAGAAAAAGAGATAGAGTCTTATCTTAAAAACTTGAGATATACAATTTCTTTTCGCGAGACACGCAGGATGCTGGTGGCACTGATAATGAGCACAGTAAAATCAACCGAAAAAAAAATAATGAGAAACGTCCCAGCAAACACAATTACACAACTGTTACATTGCCGTAATGTGACGAAACTATAAATAATGTAACGTATATATTATATACGTAATATATTATATAATATATAATATATACGCAATATATTATATAATGTATACGCGTTACATACACGTTCGACATAATTTCCCACTCGAACGATAATACGACTATATAACAGAAATATAACATGCTATTAAAATGTTATACAACTGGGATATAAATTATTTATTTCCCAGCAATTATAGCTATTTATAATAGTATGAAGCGATTACTATGAAGCTATTACTCAAATATCAGTTAATTTGTAAAAGTATGTTTATAATTATATATATTCCAAATGTTATAATTATTTCATATCAAAAGTGATAATTTTAGAGATAATAATATAGAAGTATCTTGTCAGTCTAAATTTATTATCTGCCAAATAATACAAGATATTCTAGAATTTTGGAATCATTTTAAACATCCGGAGAGAACCCCACGATATCCTGAACACATCCACGACATCTTCAGAATATCTTGTGCTATCTGGGTCATTATTTATTTATTCCCATCTCTATAAACATTTCAATGGGAAGGGTTATTACCGTCATAATAATTACCATATTACCATTAATAAAAAAGTCTGTCACTTCATTATCAGAGTGAACTGCATGGAACGAGTTTTACCGTCTCGTGATCACCGTTCTTATGTATGTTAATGCATCATACTTTGCGTACGAGAAATAGACGAGAAAACGGAAGCCATCTATCCGACATTTGCATATAAATATGTTATAAAAAATGTTATAAAATTACATAGATAATAGATAACATAATAGATAAAATAAAGATAGATTGCAAACAATATGTTTGTTATATAACGTGTTTGCTGAGATAAGTGTTAAAAAAGAGAGCACAAAATCGAGATTACTCGGCACCGTGGATGTCTCACCACACGTTTTTACTAGATTCATAATTACCAAAAATTTTCGACCAGTGCATTCTTTTCCAGTTACATGCCATTTCTCAAAACTGTTTAATTGCGAAAGCGGGAATATACAAATGATATCTTCACAGCTTGATATTTCGTACACGTGAAGATTGTTATTCGCTCACGTATAATGTGCGATTAACAGAAGATAGTGAGAACGTTACGAAAGAGAGAAGGATAAGTAAAAGCTTTACATATGAAATTAATATAAATAACTAATTAGGAAGTGTATATATATAAAAGTGTATGTATACATACACTTTTAAATTATTATATTCATTATATATGAATAATTATTATGATATAACAAATATATTATTGTATCTTTTTGTATGTATACATAATATACAGGGTGTCCCGCATAAGGTGTCCAAGAAAAAAATACAGGTAGAATAGATAAAAGTAAACAAATATTGTATAGGTCATTTTTCAAACAATTACGAAACGCGTTTTCTTCGTTGTTAGGAGGTTGACCCGGCTAGCCTATCATGCCGATGCTATAGCGCGTACAGCGTTCGTCTCACCGCAACACACATACTGATTGGCCAGTGGGCTGCCGCTCGATAGAAATATTTTATCATATCATTAATATTATCATATCATTAATATCTCAAAATTTTATGTGGTTGTTTAAAAAAAGACACCGATTCTATTACTCACCCCGAACTATTCTAGCTATATGTTAGCTCTGGTACGGTACGAGTCAGACACCTTGTATACATGTATATTCCAAAAGATATATATATATAATTATATTATATTAATTATTATACATAATAATTACATATTTATAATGAATATATAACAATTAAAAATAGAATAAATTAGAAATATATATATATAACAAAAATATATAATTTTGTAATAAAATTCATATTTTAATGTTAAAATGTCCTTTTTGATTTAAACACGTTGCTGGTTTCTCGGTAAATGGACAATTACGAGAAACACGTAACTGAAAACGGATGCGGTTGGCCGGAAATCTTTAACAACTATCGATCGATCTAACGAAAAGCAAGGCTTCAGCGGTGCAGGCGAGTATCTTGAACAAAATACGAGAACTCGCCATCGTTTTCCGACGCTTCTCTGGGAGCACAACGGAAAACAACAAAGCGAAAGCTGCGCGCGCGTAGAGGAGTTGTGTACGTACAAAATCTCGCATTACACGTTTTAGAAATTAATAGCTATCTTTTAACGATATGTACATTTACGGCGACCGATCGATCGACTGAAAAGCCATCCGTGCTTGAGCGATCATTCGCGAAGAATGCATCGAGATACTCGACTTCTTTTCCTCAATCCACCTCACACCCGACTCGAATGTTGGTCGATGCGGTCGTGCTGCGCGTTTAATGCTTAATACAATCCTCCCCGAATATAAGCGCCCCTTCAATTCTTTCTGCGATCGATCGATACGGTCGACGAGAGACAGAGAGAGCGTCTCGTTCCGCCATTTTTCGCCCTCACCGAAACCCTAAGTCCTCGTAATGACGAGTCGTCGTACTGAACGCTCATACATCGAGGAAGTAGGCGAAGATAGTGAGTAAATTAAAAGAGACAAAAAGAAAGAGAGAGAGAAAGAGACACAAAGAGACAGATAGAGGGAGAGAGAGGGAGGGAGGGAAAAAGAGAGAGAGAGAGAGAGAGAGAGAGGGGACAAAAAACAATAACAAATAGACGGTAAGAAAGAGTAAAAGTAACAGCAACGCGAGCGAGGTTGCAGCTCTACTCCTCGGCTCGTTGCTGTCGGAGAGAAATCACGGGTGCCGCAACGATCCTTCTTCCTTCCCTCCTTCCACCGAGACAGAATGATTAACGACATAGCAGCAGCAGCGTTTATCGCCCACGAATTTTCACACTCTCAGTCCTATACATGCACGTGTACATGTATATACACGCAAATATATGTATATATATTTGTGCGCGCATACATGTATATGCACATGCATATATATATATATATATATATATATATATATATATTTATATAATATATATACGCTCTAAATATACGCGTTGTAAATGCATCTCGGAATTGGTGCAACCTCGCCGACGGTGTGTCTCGACGGGATATATACGGGGCGAGCGACGCTGTGTAGAGCGGCGCGCCTCGTCGTTCATTGTCCGTCGCTTCCCAGTCACCAGTCGGGACGATTACGCCCCGTGGATTCTCTACGGAGCGGCGAATGTGCGGTGTCAAGGATCGGGGGTGAACGAAAAGGGGATACGGTCTGTACAGTATTGCGCGAGGGGCGAATGTCGGAGCGTCGAGCTGAAAAATTCATTCATTCATTCGGCGTTCGGCCGAAGGCGAACTCATTCTTGCCTCAGACTCTTACTCTCGCGTGCACCTTTACGACGCGATCAAGTAGCGCGTAAGAAAAATACAGTTTCTGAAAGTCAAGAAGAGTTCGTGCGGCCGAGAAGCGTACGCGCGAACGTCGTCATTGTCGTCGTCGTCGTCGTTGTCGTCGTCCTCGTCCCCGTCGTAGTCGTTGTCGTGATCGTCGTCGCGGCTCGACCTCGAAGCAGCTTCGGCGGCTCCTGAACGCGAGCTTGAAAGGTAGAAAGCTCTCGGCAGAACCGTGAGAAGCCTACTTTCCGAGGGGGAGAAAAAATAGAGGGAGGGAATGCAAGGGATCCAGGTTCGGGATATGTCAACGGTCGAGTTAGCTGCCAAGGACGTGCGAATCGATTCGTAGGGGAGGAGAAGGAAGAGTAATAGCGGACGGGGAGAGGAACAGAAGGACAACGAGGAGGAAAGAAGGGGGGGGGGAGACCGAGAGGAATCTGTGTAATCGAGAATCGGCCGAGCGACGTTCTGTGCGACGTTCCTCGGCAAACTTCGCGTCGGGAGATTCTATATGAGCGTGCCATGCGGGCTCCGAGGTGTCGTTTCACCGTCGACCAGCTGTGGGGATTCCAACAAGGCGTTGATCGTCGTCGCAGTCATCGTAGTCGCCGTGGCTGTCGTTTTCGTCCTCGTCGTCGTCGTCGTCGTCGTGGTGGTGGTCGATGGCGCGCGTGTCAATTCGGTGGTGGTCGAACGGTGTTTTAACTCGGCTCTTGGCATCGTGAGATCGCGAGAGGGTCGTCGCCGCCGCCACCTCAAGCGTAGAACTCCCGATTGTGATGAGGCGCGCCAGGCTTAGGGAAGGCCTGCGCCGCCGGCGATCTTCTGGGCTCGTCCAAGGCGTATGATCCTTCGTCTTTCTTGCGCATCCGGTACACGATGAACATGACCACCAGTATTGCGCACAGGAGGCCCACCACTGCGCCGCCGATCACAGCTGGAAGCACCATCGATATATCTTAGATCAGGCTTGGGGAAGTCACTTTGGAAAGTGACACGCGTTACCGTTACTTATTGACCATTGAAAAAAAAAAAAGAAAATAAGGTAAAAGTGGGCATGCACCTAATCCTGGACATTTTTATTATTTTGGTTTTAAAATATGAATATTTAAACTTCTAACATAAAATACAGAATATTCGGTAACTCACAAAGGAGCCGCGGTGTACTAGTAGGTCAAACTGAACAAAAAATTCCTTTACCATTTTGCAAACAACCACATAAAATTTTAAATTATTAATTAAAGAAGATTCGAGAATAATTACGCGCAATATGGTAGATAAGCTGTGATAGTAATGTCTGCCATTGTATGTACAGAAAAAAGAAAGTCGTTATATTTGGACACTTACAAAATATTGCTGCGTTAGCTACTTTTTTTGCAGCAGGAGCAAAATCTTTTCGTACAACAGCAACATGTTCTAGCAACTTGGTATTACGTCGATCTCACAGCAAGAAAATTTGCTGTTGCAGCGAAAAAAGTTGCTAACGTAGCAATATTTTTTAGGTGTCTATATATTATAACTATTTTAGCTGCGACAAACTTTTTTTTCTGTGTGTTTGTATATTAGGTCAAACTGAACAAAAAATCCTCTCTCTCTCTCTCTCTCTTCTACCATTTTTCAAATGACCACAAACATATTTAGTTATTAATTAAAGAAGTTTGGTGTACAGTTTGTGCGTGTTAATGCAACATTTTTTTTGAGTATATACATACTCAGTTGAGTACGTACATACATTCTATGTTAAAAGTTCAAATATTCGTATTTATTATAAATTCGTATTTATTATAAATTTACTAAAATAATAAGAACGTCCAAAATTAGCGTCCGGGAATTGGTACTTTTACCTTAATTCGTTACAGTTCTTCGTTAGCCTGCTTCAAAATCCGATATGGGATTGAGGACTGATTTTTCCAAATTCTTACTAAGTTAATTAACAACTAAATTATACGTCTGTCTTTGATTTTTTCTTTAAATTAAACAAAAACAGGATTTAATATTTAATTTAAATGTTAGTTTATCAAGAGGTTTTAGAAAAATCGGCTCTGATAGAAATACGTACGAATGTCATTGAAAACTATATGACTTTATCCGAACTCATTGTTTTTGTCGAGAATTTCAATCTCTCAAATTCCAGCTCACATAACAAAGTTATCGATTTCTTTTATTTTATATCGTATAACTCTTACTTTGAACGGTTCAATATTATATTAAACGGTTAAACATTTATCTAAATACTGATGCTTCATTCTGTCATTCTATCACTTTTTTTTTTTACTAAAAACACTTCAGTTATATCGATTTTTCTCATCTGATTTTATCAAATCTTTTAAGCAGATTACTCTGTGAAAGAAGTAACTGATTGCCGTTATCGTTATTCAAGACCCAGTAAACACCAACTAACGATAACGTTACATTAACAATACCATTTTCCATTTCACAATATAAATGCAATATAGCATGCAGAGCGTTCATCGTAACGATATTCACTATTTCCTACTAGTTTCAATGTTCGGGCAGGATAAAGTTCTAGATGCAATTAATCAGTTTTTAAAACGGCAATAATTTTTTAACGGCAGTTTTCAACAGCAATAATAAAAATTTTGAAAACGTTATTTTCTCGTTAAAAAATCAAAGTTACCTTCATTTTTTTAAAATAAAACCACATCCTTTTTTATTCTGTAATATTGTATAGTATCTGTAGTATTGTAAAAAGGATCAAAACAAATTCTATAATAATTCATAACGTTATTTCTTCTAACATGTAGAACAGGACATGTTCGCGAAAAATAATCCATTTTCCGCAACACGAAGCTCCGCTTTTTGTAATAAAATATCATATTGTATCAATTTGTATTATTTTCTTATTTATGTTTCTACGTACTTATTCTTATACGTCCTGGAAATTCTTTATTGTTATTTTACTATGAAATAACAATAAAAATAACATTATGAATTATTAATAAATTTTTTAAATCCTCTTCACAACATTACACATATAAAAAGATGGTTCCATTTAAAAAATGTCTGATATTTTAATGAAAAGTATCAAACATTTTTGATATTTCTATTATTTTATTCTATTGTTATTTAAAAACTGATCAATTCCATCTAAAACTTTTTGCTGTTCAATTATTGTAACTGGTAAAAATATAGTAAATATCGAGAACACATACATTCTGTATATTGTGATAATTACATTCAAGATTGGTTTAAATTATAATATTCTACGTCTGCGTGTAGACATTGTAAATCATGTATAAAATGTCATCTATGACAATGAATAATTAATTGGTAATATCATTAATTGGTAAATTTAAGGAACGTATAACTTGTCCAAAAATTAAGAAAAGTTGATATCTTCATTTAACCTTTGGAATATTGATGCAAATTTCTTAATGTCGTTTTCTAAACTTAGAGTTTAGAATTTTCTCTGAGTACATCTTTATCTTCGGAGTTAACTCTGTTATATAATTCTATTATATAATGAAATAAAAATTTCATGCAATTTGTGTCATCTGTTTTAAACATCATATTTATAATTATAATCTAATTTATAATTAAATAATTAATTTAATTATAATTAATTTAATTTATAATTAGTGCCCGACATATACAGCAACTGTTTCATAATTACTCGATTTTTATATTTTTGTATATTTTAATACGTTTTGTATTATACTAATACTTGTATACTTTAATACTTCGATATAATTTACAATATATTCTGCATAGTGTTTACGTTGCTTGCATGGAAAAAGCCTGTGTATATATCACGTGGACAATACGTAAACATTTCTCGTAGATTTTTAACTCCATCGCGCAACACACTGCTCAAATAAACCCAGTGAACGCGGATTAACGTAACATTACGTCAACGTTATAATTTCCCACTTAATAACGCAAATATAATGTAATAAACATATTGCATGTAACAGTTACATTTTTTAGTAGCAAGTAATACAATTTTTAGTAGCATGTAATGTTGCTGTTGGATTTTACTGGGAGACCAACGTTGTCAATACAATTTCCCCAAGTTACTTTTTTCCCCAAGTTCCGAAGACCTTCTTTTAGGACTCGCTTCTCTGCCCACTCAATATTCACATGTTCTACGTACGCTAAGTAACGGTAAAACTAACGATTATATTCGCTACCACTACTACGAAAATGTAGTTCCATTATCGTTCCCGCCACTAATAAAAAAAGAGATATAACTACATTACCAAGTTTTTACTGGAAAAAGTAACATGTAACGCGTTACTTCACAACCCCGTGTCTCAGATATCCTCTGGGATAACGTTAACTGCTTGTCGTTCGATGCATGCGCGGTGGATCCACGCGCATCGACGGCGACGTTAAAAGCTAGTTAGAAAGGGATAATATCGGAGAGGAGACACTATGGGAAGTGATACCAGTTGCTTACGGAAAAGCGCTCGAGATTAGCTTCAAGTCAGATGTATGTATATGCCTCTCTATCTGAGAGTGTTTTATGTTCCGTCTTGTTCTGTCTCAAGAAGCGACCGGATTGCTCGATCTGGGTCGGATTATTCAACGAGCTAACGATTGTGCGTTTTAAAAGTAAATATTGTATTTATTCAATAATGAAGGGAAATATATATTTATATTAAATCATAAACACCCGAAATTAGCACTTATCGTGTGTCACAATATGTATTTTGTTCTATGCACGCACGGAGAAAAATAATTTGCTAGTCCAGCAAATTTTCTGCTGGTCTAGCAAAATCTTTTTGTTATTATATAAACAGCAAAAAGATTTGCTAAGAGTACTAATCACTATTTGCTGGATATAATTTGCTAAATCTACTAATTATTTTGCTATAAGAACCATGATAGATTTATATAAGCAGTTACAGTTTTGCTCCGATAGCAAATAAATTTGTTAAGGATACATTATTTTGCATCAATAGCAAATTAATGTGATTCTTAGGACAAATACACTCAACAAATTTTTTCTATCCTGGCAACGAAACTATTTCTGCTCTGATAACGAATAATTTGAAAAAATTAGTTAAGTCAACTAAAAATTTTTTGTCACTACGAATATGCAGTAGCAACGACGATTTTGCTAAAAGAGCAAAATAATTTTTCTCCGTGCGTGAATATTAGCTGTTTGTACGTGTGATACGTCTAATCTTCTTTTTGCATTGTACTTATTAATTATTATTAATCGCATTATAATTGTTAATGAGTAAAGATATCCACAATTCAACATAAGTTTGTATCTCCCTTTGTTATTGAGTGAATGTAATATTTATTCTTCAAGGCGCGCAATATACTCGTTAGCTCATTAGAAAATCCGATCGACGTCGAGTGACCCGAGAGATCGAGTAACCCGAGAGACAAGACAAGGCGGAACATGAAATACTTAGATTATAGAGAGACATACACATCTCTGGCTCGGAACTAACCCCGAGCGCTTTTCCGTAAGTACCCATTATCTCTCTCCTGGGACGTAGAGACGAGATGCGACACGAGGTCGTGGACATCTTGCCGCGGGACGTGCGAGATATAGTCGTCGTGTCAATTATCGAGTGAATATTCCTACTACAAATTTTGAAAAAGCAAATCTGACGTATACGAACAAATTCGTTATAAAATCGATTGAAATATTCACTCACATAGAGTCTATTTTAAGTTTGAATGAAATATTCGAGTGAAATTATTCGATAAAAATTAACAAACGGATATTTCCGATCAAAATACCGCTGAATTTTTGTATCCAATCAAGATATCCGATTATATTTAATCGAATATTTTTGATCATAATTTCATCAAATAAATCAATAAAAAAATTTTGATATTTCTCATCGAATGTTTTCTGATCAGACACAAATATTCATTGGTATTTTGATCGGAAATGTGTTTGTTATTTTCTAATTCTAATAATTAAATAATTTTCTTCAATATATTTTATAGTTGCTTTGTGTGAATTTTCTTGTTTTAAGAGATTTCACTCAAAGAAGCAACAGCCGAAGATCTCGAAATCGATTTTTCACTTATATGGAGAGTGAACTTCCCACTTTTAAATATTCCTTACGACGAACTCCTGTCACTTACCGGCTAGTACGCCTGGCTGCGCGAAGAATGAGCTGGCGCGGTCCTCGTGTTTCGGATTCATGATGTAAACTTCGCGGGTGTCGTCAGTGTTGTCGTCGTGATCGTCCTCAGCACCCGAGGGCTCGATTACGTCGACTTCGTTGCCGGGTCGGTTTACCGCGTCGATGGTCGTCTGGAAATTGGATACGGCCTCAGTCTCTTTCTTTTTTCGTTAATCCATTTAATTTGATCGCGCCGAGGAGAGGAACACGCGTGAGACGACGTGGAGGAACGACGAGAGCGACGATGATGCGGCCGGTAGTGGGTTTTGTGTCGCGCGAAACGTCGCCTTACCAAAACTCTAATCAGGAGAATTATTAGATAACGCGTGCGTAGGAAAAATATAAAGCGTAATATCGTAAAACGTCGCGACCGCGTGATACGCCGGCGGAAACAGGCTTAATGAAGTGAAATGAACGCTTAATGAAGCGTAATGAACTAAAGCTACAGTTTTATTGGCCCACAAGTTTCTACCGGATCGAAATCTCACTTGAGTAGCAAAGGCAGACGAGTTATTCTAGTTCGAAAGAAACCATTTTCATTCATATGAAGTGAATTTTCCACTTTCAATTGTTGAGCGAATATTCTTACTAAATTTAATTTTATTAAATTTTGAAAAACGAATCTGCTGTATTCCATTGTCATAAAAATGAATTCATTGAAATCAATTGAAATATTCACTTATATAGTCTACTTTAGGCTTGAGCGAAACATTCACTCTTACGATTCTGAGTACTTTCATTATTACTTTGAATGAATTTTCACTCGTTTTAAGCGAGATTGGAGTGACAGTCGAATTATTCGAAATCGATCGATTTTTCACTCATATGGAGTGAATTTTCCACTTCTAAACCAACTGTCAACTGCGCGCGTCTTTCAATTTCGCGAAACCAAATCACTTTCTTCTATAGTTTCTCGAACACTTACGATTTTGATTGGTTTCATGAGTGAACTTTTAATCATTTTAAGCGAGATTTTGCTCCGAGAGATCTAGAAAGAAAAAAGCTTCGTTTCCTTAGTTTACCCTCTGTCTTTAAAATATTTTATAAGATTGATCCAAGAACCTATATCTCATTTAACAAAAAAACCATACGTAATCCATAATCTCTGATCTATGAGTCATAATTTATGATTTATGTCTTGTACTTACGATCCAATAATCCCCGACCTGTGATATATATTGTGTGTCACCCACACGAAAAAGATCCAGCGGCTTTTACCGGTAAAAAATTACCGTGAATTCAAACGAAAGGGGAGTAGCAGCGCGCGCGATCAAGAGAGCGGCCGGATAATAATTCTCCCATTTCCGCGGGGCTCGAGTAAAATACGTCCGTGAAAGACGCACGGCGTACTCTTTTTCTCCCCCATAAATTATGCAAACGTGAAACAACGTGGAAGGCACCACGGGACCGAAGACTTAACGCGAAGTTCGTAACTCCACGTTAACGCTCATCGCGCGCTCACCTGTTGTTTAGTTTTAGCGTTTGTCTCGTCGATGAGGTACGGGGGTCTCGCTTCTGTCGGCTTGCTCGGGACTTCTAATCCATTGTTACCGTTGAATTCTGCAACACAAGACAAGGAGGAGCTCGTTAGAATTTGCCTGAGAGCGCGCGAAACCGCGCGCAGATTCGACGGCGGCAGGAAGTGCGCTTTTTTTTTCCCCTCTGCCCCCGCCTCCTGCTTCCTGGCGTTTCGACGCGCGTACATGCGAGAGAGCGCTGGAAATGTATATTTCCAATCACCGTGATTGGGGATGAGAAACGCCCCGGCGCGCGTTGCTGAATACGCGCGCCTCGGTGTCGTCCATTTTTCAATTTTCGAAAAATCCTTCCGCCGACGCGCCGCCGCCACCGCCTCCGTGACGCGTATGATATTTTATTGACGCGCCGCTTTTTTCCCCCAACGCGTTGGAAATCGCGCAGTTCGCGGTGAATCCCGAAATAAACGCCGCGCCGAGTCGCGCAACGCGACGTAACGCAACGCAACGACGTCGCCGGAATGGCGTTCTCGTTTCGATTTTTGACATCTCTCACGGCAAACGAGGATCGTGTGTTGGACGCTCACATAAAAAAAAAAACAAAGAAAACAGACACGTCGAGCCGTTCGCTAACGAGGATTCGTCGACCCGCCGATCTGACGAGTCCTCCGACAGTCGAGCGAGGAAATCCGCTTGGACGCACAGACGCCGGATATTTCCGCTCAATAATGTAGCGTGCTAATAGTGCAGGATTGCAAAACGATCTGGACACAATGAGAGAGAGAGAGAAAGAGAGAGAAGGTGACAGTCCATTAAACTGCCAAAATTGAGAGTCATTACCGACGAAATGAATTGTTAACAATATAATTAAAGATATAATCAAGAATATAATAAATAATAATGATAATTAGTGGTGTAATTACTGGGCAAGCTCGTCACACATACACGCGATAATAATTCTCCATTTTAACAATTTGGTGAACACTCATTGTGTCTAAACCGTTTCGCACTGCACAATTTGCAAGACTTGTATTACGCGACTGGAATATATATATATATATATATATATATATATATATATATATATATATATATATATATA